GGGTGTGTAATTCCTGTCACAAAACACACAGTCATGATTGCCAGTGTTTCCATGACTATCCATCCCCTGACAGATATGTTCTGCTGAGTCACTTTTTTCTCAGGACTCTCTGTTCCCATCTGATCCCTTCCATAGCCCTGAACATTTCCCATATTTTTCTAATTAGCAGAAATTTGGGTAAAATGGTTTCTTCATGCCTCTTCCTTCCTTGGATTTGTCTTCTTTCTTTCCATTCTTTTCTCCCTACCTTCCTTTCTCCCTCCTTCTTTCTTTTTCTTCCTTCCTTCCTTTCTATGCAGTTAATTTACCTTTAAGATTTTCCAAGCCTGAATCTCCACTAACATCCTACTATGGTGATTACTCTATCTCTTCTGGGAGATACAAGGGCTGGGGAATTCATTATCCTGAAAGCTGAGGTCTTCCTCCTTGACTAAAAAAGTCAAGGCCTTTATTTGATCATTGCGCATGACTGGATTCATCCTAGGGATCAGAGATTTTTTTTTTTTTAACGAGCACATATACTTATTTTTTGGCCTGATTTATGACTGGTTTCCCTTCAAAATACAAAATCACCAAGCAGCTATGTGCCAGGAACTGTGCTAGGTGCTATGGATTCAGAGAGAAAAATGAAACAGTCCCTGGCCTCAAGAAGCTTACATTCTACAGGAGAAATAATATGTACATGTAAAAGTATGTGCAAAACACATTCCAAATAGCCTTAGAGCTGGGAGGATCTTTGATGCTACAAATCTAAGGTAACTGGGGGGAGTGAGGGAAGGGGAGCTGAAAGTCTGAAGGACCAAGAAAGAGTTCCTTTAGTATGTGACCAGATAGGGTCACAAAGAGTTGGACATGTCGAAAAATGACTGAACAACAACTTGAGCTGAATTTTTAATAAATAATAGCTCATTTTATGTAGTTTTTAAAAGTCTACAAAGTGTGTTAACCTCATTATCTGATCTAACACTCACAGAAATCCTGTGAGGTTGGTGTTTCTATTCCCATTTGCGGTGCAGATTTCAAAAAAACTAAACAGGCTTAGCAAGATGGAGTGATTGGTCCTTGGTGACAAAGCTAGTCAGCATCTGAGTCAGGATTTATGCCCAGGTCTTCCTGATCCTAAGTTCAACTCTCTCTGTGTTATATCACACAGTCTCTAAATGCAAGCTGATGCTAGAAAAGGCCTGGTATACCACGTATTGCATCAGTGCTGTTAGGCAATCCAGCTTCCCAGACTCCACTGTCCTACTATTTCATGTCAGGCAGAACAGAGTTATAGCTCACATTTATAGAGCACTTTGTTTTTTCAAAATTCTCTGCCTACAGCAAGCCCTGCTGTTTCAAAGCAGGTAATACAAGTGTTGTTCATCCCTGTTTTATAGATGAGGAAACTGAGACTCAGGTTGTGATTTGCCCATGGTCACTGAGTTAATACGGGCAGCTAGGTGGCACAGATGATAGAGTGCTAGCCCTGAAGTCTGGAAGACTCAGCTTCCTGAATTTAAAGAGACTTACTAGCTGTGTGACCCTGGGCAAGTCACTTAACCCTGTTTGTCTCATTTTCCTCATCTGTAAAATGATCTAGAAAAGCAAATGGCAAACCACTCCAATATTTTGCCAAGAAAACACCAAATGGGGTCACGAAGAGTCAGCCAGGACTGAACAATGACTAAACAACAATAACAACGGTGCCAATAAATAATCTCTTACAAAAGGTCAAGCGCCCATATGCTGTGTGCCTTCAGTTCGGTCTGGAACATGCTACTAATTTGGCTCTACATGCTACCTTTTTTTCTACAATTTTTCTGTTTTCTTATCAATCATAGAATCTCAAAATTAGAAGGGAGCATGGAAGGTAGAAGGGAGTATGATGTAGTAGAAAGAATGCTGAATTTGGAACCAAAGGACTAGGGTTAAAATTTTGGCTCTAGCTCCACCACTTACTACTTCTATCATTTTGAGCAAGTCACTTAACTTCTTGAGGCCTCAGTTTCCTTATTTGTAAAATGTGAGAGTTAAATTAGGTGGGCTTTTAGGTCCCCTCTTTCTCTGAACTTGTGATCCCATGGTCTATGAATCCATGGTCTTAAGTCATGTTCAAGAGTCCAACCTCTCCCACATCCCTAAGCATGAATGTGTGAACCACTAAACACTCATGAGGCAATAGTATTTAGTGACAAATTCCTCAAAACCACTGGAAATCTTTGTCGTGGGTAGGGCTCTGGTCAAGTTCCGGGTACACTGCCTCGATCATCTTCAGACTTCTCATCAGAACATATTTCATTATTGACTAATGCCTGGGACCCTAAATTTTCCTGGTTGCCTTCTTGCAGGCTCAGTCACCTGTGTCTAGCAGACTTTAGTAGATCATTTCAAACCCTTTGAGCAATTTTCAAGGTATAAATTGATTGTATAAATAGTATAAAAGTATAAATAGGAGATTGAAAATATTATCCAGTGGCAATTTTCAAGTATGGTGGGAAATGTGAGGCTATATAAAATGTATTAAATAAGATCTGACCCATCTTGTAATTTTACTTATATGATATTAAATCAAATTAAATTAAAGCTGGAAGATCGTTTCTGGTGACAAAGAATTGGAAATTGAGAGGATGCCCATCAATTGGAGAATGGTTGAACTTTTCACTGTATATGATTGTGATGGAATACTGTTGTGACACGAGGAATGATGAGCTAGATGCTCTCAGAAAAACCTGCAAAGACTTACATGAACTGCTGCAAACTGAAATGAGTAGAACTAGGAGAGCATTGTACACAGTAATAGCAATATTGTTAGGTGATCAACTGTGAATGACTTAGTTATTCTAAGCAATACAATAATCCAAGACAACTCTGAAGGACTTATCATGAAAAATGCTATCCAACCCCAGAAAAAGAACTGATGGAATCTGGATATAGAACAAAGCATACTTTTTTATTTTCTTTATTTTTCTTGGGTTTTTATTTTGGTCTATGTTTTCTTTTACAACATGACTAATATGGAAATATGTTTTGCATGATTGCACATGCGTAAACTAGAAAACCAAAAACAAAATAAAATAAATTAAAGCAGGAAGAGAGCTTAGTGGTCAACCTCTTGTTTTGCAGAGTAAGGAAACAAGTCTAAAACAGTTAAGTGGCTTGTCCAAGGTCACCCAAGGAATGTGGAACAAAGCTAAAATTTGCACCTTGGTCCTTTGGCTTCAAACCCAACGCTCCTCTCTACCACAGTACGCTTTACTCATTGGTCATGGAAAATGGGCCAGATTGACCATATTAGTATATCTTAAACTCTTACTGACTGGAGAGGTAGTCTGGTATAGTAGAAAGTATGGTGCAGTTGGAATCATGTAACATAGGAATACCTATGTTCAGATCAAAGATCACGGATAAGCCTTAGCATCTCTGATTCTCTGTTTTCTCTTCTGTGAAACAGGAATAGTAATATTAACCACACCAGGTCATTATGAGGCTTAAGTGAGATTTTGTTTATAAAGTACTTTGCAAACTTTTCTCATTTTACTGATACATTTTTTTCACATGACATTGATTTCTGAATATATTCCTCCCTCTTATCCTACCCAATGAGTCATCCCTGGTAATAAAGGTAAAAAAAAAAAAATAAAAACAGTTTCACAAAACCACTTAATACATTGTGTCGGTAACTTTCCAATGACTTAGTATAGTCAGCTATCAGTCTAATTTTCCTGACGGGGCCATTTTTGTAAGGCTAATGAATAACCAGCATAGTAAATATTGTTCCAAAGCAATGAATAACATGTCTCCTATATTATTTTGCAATTATACACCTGCACATTTGACAGCATAATGCCATAACTGGTCTAGGATTCTGGTTAGAATCTTACCAGATGTATAGAACACTGGAATGTCACAATCCTTAAATTAATCAGAATAATTTTTGTTCATCTTTTCTTTTCACATCACTTTCATTTCCATATATATGCTTCCCAGAGAATCATCCCTCCTTACAAAGATACTGTAGGAATAAAAGTTTGATTTGAGAGAGAGAAAACCCACATTTATAAAATGTTTTGTGTGCTAAGTGTTAGGGAAACAAATCAAGCTAACAACACAGTCTATGCCCTCAAGGAACTTATATTCTAATGGAGGAAGATGACACACATAAGGTAATTGAAGAGTCCTAGGAAAGGGGACAAGATGGCAGGTGAGGGAAAAGGGGAGAGTGAGGCATGAGTGAGGTGAATCCTGGCTAGGATCCTTCCCAAAACGGTATTTCAGAGAAAAGAGGTACCAACCAGAAGAGCAGGGCCTCAGGGCAAAGGATTTTCCAGGATGATGAGGCAGTAGATGGGGAAGAAAAGAAGTACTCAGCATTCATATTCATTTTTCTGTGGTTCTTTCCATTTACATTGAAGTTATTATTGATGCTGTTTTCCTGGTTTTGCTTCCTTTATTTTGAATCAGTTCATATGTTTTTCCATGCTTTTCTGTAATCTTTACACTCAAACATTCCTTATGGCACAGTAACATTCTATTACATTCACCACACTGCACTAATTAGCCATCTCCCAAACAATTGGCACCCACTTTCTTTCCTGTTCTTCGATAATCCAAAAAGCTGACGCAAAGGAACTCCTCTCCTGCCTAATTAGGCCTGAAAGTTTGGGCATATACACACAGACTCACCTACTCTCCAGGACTTGGGTGAGACAGGCAGTAAGCAGGGCTCCTCCAAAAACAATGGAAGCATCCCTCCCCCCCCCCCCCCCCCCCCCCCCCCCCCGGCTCCTGACCTGCCCAAGTAACTCAATGTCCTGGGTCACCTTTTTGCAGGAGACAGTGGAGGATCCCACTGCCGTAAGTTGTAGGGCTATTTTTTTCAAATGGTGGTTCATAGACTCATAATTTTAGAGCTGGAAGGAACATTTGAGGAAAGCTAGTGTTCCCCCCCACCCCACACACACACTCACATACTTCATTTTGCAGATGGGAAAACGAGGCCCAGAGGAATGACTCACCCAAAGACACACAGGTAATAAGTAACAGAAGGGCTGTGTTGAGCTATTCACATTTCCTCTAATAATTCTCCATGATGAAATGCATCCTTCAGAATCTGCGCCTACAGAACAAACCCAGGAAATTCAACAAGAGCATTTCCAACATTTCAGACATATTCGGCAGCCGATTAACTCCTCTGCCTTACTTGAGATTTAAAGCTCAGTTCCAGTGCTATCTCTGGGCCAGCTAGGTAGTATAGTGGAAAGAGAGTTAGTCCTGGAGTCAGAAAGACTTGAGCTCAAATCCAGCCTCAGACACTTACTAGCTGTTGACCCTAGCCTAGTCACTTAATAGCTATCTGCCTCAGTTTCTATATCTGTAAAATGGGGGTGAATCTCCTTCTGTTAGAACACAAACTCCTTGTCGGTGGGGACTCTCTTTGCATTTATGTTGGTATTGCTAGCTCACTGGGGAATGCTTGCCATATAATAAGTGCTTAATGAATGAGTTTTCATTCATTCTTTCTGTACATATCTACAAAATCCTCTTCCCCTTCCAATCCCACAGACATTTTTTCTTTTTTTCTTTTTTAGGAAATTGAGGTTAAGTGACTTGCCCAGGGTCACACAGCTAGTAAGTGTCAAGTGTTTGATCTGAGGTCGCATTTGAATTCAGATCCTCCTAACTCCAGGGCTGGTGCTCTACCCACTGTGCCACCTAGCTGCCCCCCAACAAACATTTATTAACAGCCTACTTTGTACCTATGTTAGGTATTTATTGTTCAGTCTCACCCAACTCTTCATAACCCCTTTGGGTTTGGTTTTGGTAAAGATACTGGAGTGGTTTGCCATTTCCTTCTCCAGCTCATTTTACAGATGAGGAACTGAGCAAACAGGATTAAATGACTTGCCCAAGGGTCACACAGCTAGCAAGTGTCTGAGGCTGGATTTTAACTCAGAAAGATGAGTCTTCCTGACTCTAGGCCTGGCACTCTATCCGTTGCACCACCTAGCTATATGTAGTTTTTAGTTGAGTTTATAGAATCATAATCTAATCTATTTCACTCATGTTATAAATGACAAAAGTGAGGCCTAGAAAGGGGACATGATTTGCTGAAGGTCACCGAAGTAATAAGCATCAGAGCTGAGATGTGATAGCTTCTGTTTAGAAAAAAATTCACAAGATGCAGAAAACGAGGCCCATATTTTTGGACATGATCAATGCGGTAATTTGCTTTGCTTGACCATGTTACAAGGGTTTTGCTTTTGTTTGTCTTTTTCTTCAATTTGGAGGTGGGGGGAGAAAAGAGATAAGGATAGGGTTTTTCCCTATCCCACTCCTCAAAAAACAGAGAACAGAAAGAAGGCTAGAAGGAATCACAGACAAGCAGGACAGCTTTGAAAGTGACATGTTAAATTGTTAAATACTTTCATAGAGCAAGCTGTACGTGACAGAGGTCTATAGTTTCATGCACAATACCCCTGCTCTATAAAATACACAGAAATGCTCATTTTTATTTGGTGTTTGTTAAATTCGGAGTAAAAATTAAAGAAGGAATCCACAGTGCTTGGCCTAGGCCATAGACAAAGAGATGAACACAATTATCAGTAGGAATGCAGTGTTTTTATATATTTGCAGGTCTTTCCTTATGAATTTATCCCACTCTTTCAGACTGTTGTGTTAAATTCACTTATTGGGATGACCACCCAATGACAATGTGAAAATTTCAGTACGGTTCCAGGACTCCAAATGGAATTCAGGCTATAGAGTTGCATTGACCACAAGTCCTTTGAATCCACTTAGGGGAGGGTATAGCATAGATACCAGAAGTTTAGAATGGGGTAGGGGAATGGAGGAGGAAGACTGCGAGAGGCTAGCAAAAGGACAAAGAGGGGAGCAAAACATAACCTGATTTTCACAAATTCCACTGTTTGGGGAACTGAAAGAGCTTTCAAAGAGTAATATTTGAAGGGCTACCATGTGGAAGAGGAAGCAGATTGTTTCTGGGGAGCTCCAGAGGACAGAACTAGGGGAAGAATTGCAGGAAAGTACATTTTGGTTCAATGTGAGGGTTACTTTTTTGTCAGTTACAGAGGTCCAAAATGGAACCTTGAGAAGCAGTTAATTGTCACTAAAAGTATTCAAGTGGCAAGGCCATGGCAGGTAGGTTGTTAAAAGGTTCTCCATACTGAGAGGTGATCTCTAAGGTCCCTTCCAACTTAAAGTTTCTATAATTCTATGAAACTGGTCCAGTTCCATAACAGCAGGCAGATGCCCAAGAAATAAAACACAGGATATATCAACTGACCCAGTAAAGAACAGGTGTGCCATGCCTGAAGCATGTGATTAATGAATGGTTTTTTTTGTATTATTGCTTTTAATATGGGTTTAGCACTGTAAAACAGCACAGAAAATGTAGGTGTCATATAGCTAAATGTGGGTGTAAACTCTCCAGGAAAGGGTGGGAAAGAAGAATATGGAGATAGAGATTGTGTAGGCACAGAATCCCAGAATCTTAGCAATGGAAGAAATCTCAGAGGGTATCTAGTTCAACTTGACCTGATCAGGAAGGAAACTCCTCTAATAATATTCCTGACCAGTAAGAATCCGGCCTGCAGTACTGGGAAATATCCACTTGCCCCTATTACATATTTTTGCACAGCTCTTATTGAAAGGAAAGGCATCTACCTGGTACAGTGAATAGAGCTCAGGAGGACCTGAGTTCAAATCTGCCCTCAGACACATACTAGCTGTGTGATCCTGGGCAAGTCACTTAAACCTTGTTTGCCTCAATTTCCTCATCTGTAAAATGGACTGGAAAAGAAAATGGCAAACCATTCCAGTATCTTTGCCAAGAAACCCCAAATGAGATCACAAAGAGTTGGACTCAACAATTGATAGGAAGTTTTTCCACACAGAGCTTCCTGAAGTCTGTCTTCCTGCCATATCCATCCCTGCTAACTGATTTTACAGGTGTCAGTGGGCTTGGAATCAGGAAGCCGTAATTGCAAATCTTGCCTCAGATACTTTCTAGCTGTTTGACCCTGGAAGAGTCACTTGATGGGCTCTCAGTCTGTTTTCTCATCTGTGAAATGGGGATAATAGCAACTATCATGCAGGGTTGGGAGGATTAAATGAGGTAATGTATGTAAAGTACTTTGCAGACCTATATAAATGCTAGCTTATATAAATGCATAGCTCTTTACAAAGTGTTTTAACCAGTTATTTCATTTGCTTCTCACAACAACCTTGTGCGGTAGAAGCTATTATTATCCCCATTATACAGAAGAGGAAACTAGGGATGGGGGTTGGGGAGAGGGGCGGGTCACACCTCTAGTAACTTCTGAGGCAGGATTGGAACTCGGTTATTTCTTACCCCAAATCTAACACCCTAGCCACTGCGCCACCTAGCGGCGAAATCTGAAATCCACAGAGGTGAAATGACAAAATTAAGTACCACACAGCCTAGACTTCTAAGCTCTTTCCTCTGCATCTTTTTGATGGAAGTTTCCTGAAGAGCCCAGAGACTTTCAGAAAACCATAGGTGGAAAGCAGAGCTTAAATCCAGTGGCATTTAGTTCTGACAAACTTTCTATTTAAGTTTCATTTCGGGACACATAGGACTCACAGAATTATATGTCGGAAGAGTTGGAAGGAACCTCAAAGGCTGAATAGACGTCCCCACATCTCACAGATGGCTCTTTCAGCGTGAGAACAAGCCAATCGCTAGTGGTTGTCTCCTGGTCACTGTTCTCATTAAACATCCTTCAAACTGCTGGCCTGATTTAGCGTTTGAGTCAAGCATGTTTGCTACCGATTCATGATTGTGAACAGATGTTACTGGTTCCTAAGTTCTTTCTTGTTCACTGTACATATTATTATAATATTCTAGTACTTTGGTGGTCAAAGGATTTAATGAGCCTGGGAAATCCCTGCCCTAACTCAGGCAGCGGAGATCAGACTTCTTTTATTAAGCAGTTAATAATCCTTGTCTCTCTGCATAGCTAGCTCCTCCTAACTGGTCAGAAAATAGCTCCCAAACAATTAGGAGAAGGAAATGGTAAACCACTCTGGTATCTTTGCCAAGAAAATCCTATGGACAGCATTGCTGTGCTATGGTCCACTGTGTCATGAAAAGTCGGACACTACTGATCGACAACAACAAATTAGACTCCTCCAACACGCGGAATTCCCCTTCTCTTTTTCTCCGGGCCTGGAAAGATGGCCACTGCTGCCCACCCCGGGCTTGGCGCCTAGAAATCAGGGCTCCGACTGTATCTGTTACCTGCAGGAGCACAACCCAGAGAGCTCGCAGTCTTCTCCTAGAAGTCCCGGAGTAGTAGCTGAGGTTGCATCTAATTCTTTGGCTAACTCTCCCCACCGTTATTGAATCACCGCTGGTGAGTCACCAATTCTTTGCCCACTGGGGCCCCAGGCGTAGGAGGCGGGGCAGGGGTGTGGGAGATGAGGAGAGACCGCCCACCTAAACGATGTGGGGGCCTATTTGAGGGGTGTGGAAGTGGCCCGAACACCAAGCCCAGAAAAGGGGCCGGACAACTTCCAAAGAGGCGGGAGAGGGAGCAGGAGGGGAGTGCTCCGGTCCAAGCCTTTATATTGAGCAGCCAACATGCGACCCCCACACACAAGGCTCCCTGGAGGCAAAGAGCAGCAAGGACCCCAACCCAGACGAGCACACGTCTTGTAGAGCTCCCGTCCTTTACTTTGGCCTCCCGGGAACACTCCAAGGACTAATCCGCAGCAGACTCACTACAATGGCGCCCCCCAACCCTTGTCTCCTGGTGGCCCCCGCGGCTTCTGTCCAGACGGTTCTGCTCGGCTTCCTCCTCCTCGTCCAGGTGGCATTGGCTTCAGGTGAGTGGCTCCCAGTGCCTTTTCGGGCCAGGGCTCATCGCTCCACAGCAGCGCGTGGAGAGCGCACTGAGGACTCGGAGCCCGGCGCGCTCTGGTCCTCCAGGCGAGGGGCCGACCCAAGCGCCGGGAACGCAGACATGAACACGGTCCAGCCCCGGGAATGGTCGCTGACTGTCGGAAGCGCCGTCAGGACCTTTACCTGGGCGGCTGAAGGGCCAACTGAAGTGGCTGGGTTGGAGCTGCCGCGCCTCAGTCTCTGAGCCATCCGTAGTCCGTGGCCTGGCTCCGGTGAATGAGATCTGAAACTGGAAGCTTGCTAGTTTCCTAATTCTGTGTTTCTGCTCATTTCCGATGCTGCGCTGTTCCGGTGGCTTGGCTGGCAGGTAGGATTCCAAGCCTGGAGCAACTCTCTTCTGATGGCTTGGGGCCCGGCTCGAATCCTGCACTCAGTTGTTAACTCTTTGATCCAGGGTTTTTCTTGAGTACTGGACCTTCTCATACCCACTCTTATGCTCTGCCAGCTTTTCCTTTTAAAGTTCTCACAAGTCGACTAAGTCTAGGGGTCTACAGCACTGTCTGTTTTGCTCATAGGGAATGGTGGGATGCATATTACCTTTCAAGAACATTATGTGAACCACTTCACTGTCAAACTAGAATCTTGGAGAGTACCTTGAGTGTGATGAACAATGAGTAATTTGCTTCAGTATTTCCAGTGTGAGAACAGAGAGGAATCAAATTGCAAAATCTTAGAATAGAGCAAGAACAGTATTGTGCATACCACATATCTGCACTGGTTTTTACTGGAGTTAAGTAACGACATAACTAGTTTCTGTAGTAAAGTATAGAAATGTATCTAATGTATTTATGATAAATTCTGAATGTTTATGTCAAGCCTGCTTATGCTAGCATCCTTATCAATGCTCTGGATGTCCCACTGCCTCGTTTATCTAATTGAGATAAGAATTGATGAGTTGGGGGTTTTTTTTTTGGTAATCCTAACTCCTTACACACACAGTCTTTACAATACCTTTCATTTCTTTTTCTTTTTTTCTTCTTCAATTCTTAATAACAGCTCCGGTAAAGAAAAGGTGGTACAGGGCAGCTTAGATTCCAACTCTGCTGCTTACCGCTGACCTTGAGGAAGTTACCCATAGATTGGGGACTCAGTTTCCTCATCTGTAAAATGAGGAAGGTGAACAAGAGAAGCTGTCTCTTCCAACTCAAAAACAACAATCATATGAAGTTGTGAGTTCCAGCCAGGACAGAATTTCTACTTTGATTACAAACTGAGTTACAGAAGCAAGATCTTGGTTTTGTTTTGTTTTGTTTTCAATTTTGAATTTTTAAGCACCATTTCGATTTCCCAGGGACTTTTCCTGTAGCACTTTTTTTCCCTGACAGGTTCCTTGTATGTTTTTATGAGTTGTGGTGTAAATCAATTATTAGATAACAGCTTACCTTGAGTCAAGAATGGGATTAGGACAAGGCTATTCGAATTAGTCAATAAGGAAAAAATATATGTTATCATTTTTTAAAAATCTGATGCTGTATGATATAAAGGGGAAAATCTTAAGGGCATTTTATGCTTATCAAATAGAGAGCATTTAAGTCTACATTCAGTTAGTGAAGCTGTGCTAATCATTAGAATCACTAAAGTAATGGCTATTCTTTCTTGTGTGTGCATAGGTACATCAGATGTAGTATTAGCACACAACATAACCTGGAAATCCATTGACTTCAAGACCATATTGGAATGGGAGCCCAAACCAGCCAATTTCGTCTACTCAGTTGAGATAAGGTAAGTAGACATCTTGATAAAAACAAGATTTCTGAGATGTCACTATTTAATAATAGCTAGCATTTATATGGGTCTTTAAGGTTTACAAAGCAGTTACATGTGTTGACTGAGCTGATTCTCACAACAGCTCATGGAAGGTAGATGCTGCTAATATTATCCCTATTTTGCAGATGAAGAAACAGGGCTAGATGGATTAAGTGACTTGCTCAGGGTCATACAATAATAAGTATCTGACAAAAGATTTGAACTCTGATCTTTCTGATTCCAGAATTACCACTCTAGCCACTGACCCATCTAGGTGCCATTTCTCTGTATTCAATAAGGGGGTAGATAAAGATGACTGCTGTCTGAGGGCCATGAAGTACATGACAAAGAAGAGAGCATTCACTGTGATTTTTGAAGCACCACACAGATCTATCAGGAATGTGAAGCTGCTCTGAGGATAGACAATATAACAGACAATGAGAAGGGGGCTTATTGAAGATGGCAGATAATTTTAACTCAATAATTTTAATAATTGAATAATTCTTGTTTTGGGGATGATCACAAATTTCATAGAGTGGATTGAGAGTTGCAGAAAGGGAAATCTTTACCAATAGGTGATGGAGGCACTGATTCAGTATTAGTCTTACAGGAGCAATGACATCTAGTCTACCTGATATGCATGAATTTCCCTTCTTTGGGTAACAGTCTAGACGTTCGGGCAAGGTATAAGCCATGAGGAAGGGAGGGGGCCAGTGCTTAGAATGTTTAAATCACCTGGGGCAGTATTTGATTCATAAGTGTTTATACTCTGCAAATCCAGAGCATTCATTTCGGGGCATGTCTTTCAAATGTGCCAGATAAATGACTAAATGTGCCCGGCAGAAACAGACGAGTAGAAAATCAAATTGGAGAGGCTAGTGCAGGGCTATGATTATGACCGATAGTTTGCCTGAGCAGTCGTGAAACTTTGTGTACGGAAACACAGAGTATTCAGAGACATGCCTCTCTACTCCATTTAAAATAAATTCAGCCATACTGCTAGCAATATGACTAGTGTTTTCTTTGTTCCCCCCCCCCACTTTCCTTCTAAAATGTTCCAAAAGACATTATGGGAAGATGATACTTTCTTTCCAGTAATTTTACAAAGGCATAAAAGTGTCACCAGTTAAAATTAAAGGTGCCATTTTTAGTTTATGCTGAGACTTTTGAAAGCGGTAGAGATACAATTCTCCTTGACCACACCAGTGCTAGAACAGTGGCAGCATTTTTTTTTGTTCACCAGTATTTCACAAGGGGAATGGTAGGGGGGAAAGGCGGAGTTTAAAATGTTTTTGTGTCATCTTATATATTCTTTAAAAAGAGGGATATAGGTAAAAGAGGATAAAACTTGCCAGGGTAGTTTCTGAATTTGGGACAGTAGACTACTTTGTAATTCAGGACAATACCAGTTGACAGGAAATCCATTGGATTGGCTTTTAGTAATTCACAATCTGTGAAAATTTCACTAAACTTGAGTTGGTCTGCCTTTGTGCTAACTTTTCATGAGGAAAAGCTTTACTATGAAAATTAATAGCATAAACACTATGATGGGGAAAGGGTCATTTATCTCCTTCAAAGAATATACTTTAAAAGTTCCTTAGCAAAATTCATTTCCAGAGAAAAATGTACACAGGTGAATTTTTAACTTATAAAAAGCATGCCTTTGCCAACTACTATGGTATATAACTAAAATGATAAAACTGCCTTTAAAAAATGGAGATAGACTCCAGTTTAGAAATGCCTTGCTTTTACCTATCTTCTTTACATGCTGCTCCTACAGATTCCTCTTCCATCCTTCAAACTCCTCCCTCATCCCTAGTTCCCGTTGAAAACCCCATTCTTCTTCTCTGGGACCCTGACTCTCCCCAGCTTTACATCTTGTTCCTGTGCCAGGGTCTGCTGTGGTGGGATAGAGAATTGGGTAGGGAAAGGGAGGAGGGAGGTCTTATTGCTGTCACATGACCCTCCTCTTCCTTCTGAGTTTCCAGTCTGCCTTAATTCCTCCCTTCTTTCTAAGCCTTAGCTCTCAGATTCCTAACCTCCCTCCCTGTTCCTAGTTCTCCTGCCTTTCTAAACACTAGCTCCCAGATTCCTAACCTCCCTCCCTGTTCCTAGTTCTCCTGCCTTTCTAAATGCTAGCTCCCAGGTTCCTAACCTCCCTCCCTGTTCCTAGTTCTCCTGCCTTTCTAAATGCTAGCTCCCAGGTTCCTAACCTCCCTCCCTGTTCCTAGTTCTCCTGCCTTTCTAAACACTAGCTCCCAGACTCCTAATCTCCATCCCTGTTCCTGAGACCATTGGAAGCCCAGCGTCTTAGAGTTAAAGGAGCCCATTTATTTAGTTTTGAGCAGCAGACAGGAATCATAGAATAATAGCTCGAGAGCTGGGAAGAAGGCTTAGAAGTCATCTAGTCTAACCCCCCTCTTTTTTTAGCTGCCTGGAAGGATTAAATAGTTACCCAGGGTCTCACAACTAGTGTCAAAGGGGAATTGGAATGAGCCTAGGTCCTCTGACTTCCCACTGTACCTCACTGCCCTGTTTTTCTTGTTGCAATAGCAGCTAAATGTGTGGCCATCCATTGAGCATGTTAAAGTGGAGGTTCTTTTAGTGTATGGATTGGATTAGATGACCACTGAGGTCCCTCCCACCCTTCAAATTCTGTGATTTTTGTGTCCAAGTAACAAGTGAGGACAGATTTTTTTTTTCCACACAGAAACATGATCAGACATGAGAGTTTCCAGAAAGGTATTATTGCTATTCTTCAGGTACCTTATGAGTTAAACAGACTTTAATGAGCTAGCCTAGCAAACTAGAACATTGTTTCTAAGGGAAAAGGCATTCTGAGTTCCACATGACTTACAAATGAAAAGTTGGTTGTAAATTAGTATCCTGTTCAGCAGTTCTGCTCCTTCAGATGACTCTTTCTCCTAATTTAAATAATTAATAAGGTTCCACTGCCTAAGTATATTTTCACCATTCTGGTTTGGTTGAAAAAATCTCGTTGAGTTGCAACACAGGCAGTTAAGGGGAGGGCATGTCCTGCAGTAGAAAGAATGGTAGATTTGGGGTGAGAGGATCCAAGTTTGAATTCTGACTTGGCACTTATCAGCTTTGTGACTTTGGGTATGTTACTTACTTTTTTCTGCCTCAGTTTTCCCTTTTTTAAAATGAGGGCTTGGACTCAATGATCTCTGAAGTTTCCTTTATCTCTAAATCTGTGATCCCATAAAAAAGATGCAAAGAATAAAGAGATATTTCTAAATCAATCTATTTTGGGAGAGCTGAAAATGAAACTGACTATAGTAGCTCCCAATCCTGTTTGGCTCAGCTCTGAGGGAATGTGTTATCTATTGTCTTTATGCTGAGGTTTAGGAAACTAAATCTAGCTACCTGATGTTGTTTTCTGAAAACACATGCATGTTAAGATGATTTGTCTAGTAGCCTTCTAGGGTCTTGGGCTTTGTTAGTACTGTATCACTTACATTGTTATTGGCAAGCATTTTTCAACAAGAGAACACTCTCACCCTATATATGTAAAAGAAAGAATAAGAGACACAGGCTGTATTTTTTCTAATGAGATGTAATGTTACAAGAGACTATCCCATTCCTAAAGAATAGAATTAAATACACTAAGAACAATGCCAACTAGTTTGGGAGTTTGAGGGTCTTAAATGATGCCCAAGAAGCCTGGATGGTTACTAGAGCCAAGAGAAGGCATTTCACTGGAGTCAAAAGACCTCGGTTCAAATTCTGACCCTACCATTTATTAGCTGGCTGAACTAGATGACCTCTGCTTATAACTTGCCTCTCTTCTCAGCAATTTCCTCTTCTGTAAAATGTCTGGGATCTCTCCCATCCCCCTTAACATTCTGTACTTGTTAATCATATGCCCCAGGCACAGTTGAAGAATTGCATGCACACGCGCACACACACACACACACACACACACACACACACACACACACACACACACACACTATGGGTCCAGAATTGGTTTTGTGCCCTGTGTTATCACACATGCCTCAAATTAGCAAAGGTCAAGACCTGTATGAGGACATAGAGAGAGGAATGTTGTATAATTAAAGCTATTGTATATGCATTTTTTAAATGGACTATTTAAAAGGTCCTCTGTCGTGCCTTAGGTAGTCTGCCCCTAGTCCCAATTTTGACTGAAATAGATAGGATTATAGAGGTAATCCAGCTGGGTTATTACAGAAAATGGCTCTTTTCCTTTGTAGCTATTAGCAGCCCAATTTTACAATATGGCAACTACACACACACACACACACACACACACACACACACACACACACACACATACACACACACATATCTTTTTGGAAGCAAACAAGTAATGTTCTCTCTTATCACCACTTTTCTTTCTTTCTTTTTTTAGTACCAGATGGGGAGACTGGAAAAAGAAATGTTTTCAAATAAAAAAAACAGAATGTGATCTCACAGATGAGATGAAAAATGTAAGGGAAACGTACGTTGCTCGAATCCTTTCTGAAAAAGCAGTAAAGTCAGATGAAGATCCTGAAGAACCCCTGCATGCTAATGCACCTTACTTCACACCTTACTTAGACAGTAAGTAAGGGAGAGTGGGGCTGGATTTGTTATTACCTCAATTCTGGTTAAATACTTAGGAGCTCCAGTGAGCACCACCATAAATGAGGTTTTTCTTGGGTTCATATCACTAGAAACTGGTACTCCCACCCTTGATGGAAATTTTGACCCTTCAGTGACTCTGGATGCAGCTGTCATGAGTTACTGTGACAGAAAAAAATCATGCTTTCCAAGGCCAGCCCTCTGGTGATCAACCTTTCCAAATTTAGCAGGGCTTGTCCTTGGAAGATGCAGCATGGTCTAGCAGATAGAAGGCTACCTTTGGAATCGGGAGGACCTGCTAAATCTAGTCCTATACTAAGCCTGGGACCCTAGGCAAGTAGCTTAATCTCTTATCCCCCCACCCCCCAACCCAGGCAATTCTCTAAGCCTAGAAGTTATCAACAGGTCACTGATCTGCCTTGGTGGAGGGAATTTCTAAACTGAGAGTTCCCCTGTAAAATCATAGGTACTATCTCCTTTCTCCCTCCTAACTGCCCCCCCCCACTGCCCTATTAAGTCCTTGGACAACAGGCATACACAATCTATTAGGTGATTGTTTTTAGAGGATTTCCAGATTGCTGTGGCCTGCCAGGGCTCCCCTGACATAGCTGCCTTCAAAAGTACAAGGTTACCTCTATACTGTGATGAAGAGTCACAGGAGGCTTTAGTTGAAGAATTAAAAAAAAACTTGGAAAAAATAAAATTGAATTTTAAAGAAGAATAATGAAAAATATTTTAAGGAAAAATGAAGCTAGCTATATTACATGAATAGGCTGCAGCTTCCTTCTGTTTTTTTTTTACCTTACCTGTTACTTAGTGTGTTAAGTATCAACTCAGTTGGAAGTGTGATATTAAACAAAAAAAGCACAATCTTAGCTTTTTCATCCTGAACAAACATGTAGTCAGTAAAAGGAAATAAAGATGAAGACAGAATCTTAGATCTGGAAGGGATCTCAGAAACTGTCTAGGCCAAATCACATCTGAAAAAGAATCCACTGTACCACACACATAGTAGGTGGTCCTTAGCCTTTGCTCAAAGATTTCCAGTGATGGTGGAGCCCACTACCTCCCAAAGGTAGTGGATAGATCTAATTTTAAGGAAGTTTGGTGGTGAGGTTTTTTTTTCCTTCTTCCATTAAGTCCAGATTTAAACTCGCCTCTTTGCAACTCCTACCTATTCTTCCTCCTCTTCCCTCTTGACCCTTGGGGCCAAGCAGAACATGGCTTGACTGTCTTCCACATGACAGGCCCTGGAATCCTTAAAGATGGCTCTCATATCTCTACCGAGCCTTCTTATCCACAGACGTGGCATCCTCAATTCTTTGCACCAATCCTCCAGTGGCCCACCTCACTCTCCTTCACAGAGTCAGTTGTGACATACACAGAGGAGGAATGTGGAAGAGAGATCGGACCCCAAGTGGAAGAAACAAGAATAATAGATAGAAGCTTAGCAGATTTAGACTTAATGTCAAGAAAACTTTGCTAACTTTCCAGTCTGTCCCAAAGTAAAATGGGCTTAATGGGTTCTTCTCCCTAGAATACTTCAAGGGATGGCTAAAGACTGAAGTAAACCACTTGTTGGGAATGTTATTATAATAGAGAATCTTTTCAAGTGTGGGTTAGACTAAGAGGTCACTGAAGTCCCTTGTGACTCCCAAATTCTGCGATTGTTTTGTGTGGCGTGGCTGAGAGCTTTCCAGACCGTGATAAGGTGTGGTACACAACCAAATAAAATTTTTTTACTTTTTTTTTTTTTTAATAAAAAGTGGCCAAGATAAAAAGAAGTAGAGAAAAAGATGTATGGGAATTTTAGAAAGTGAGGGAAAAACCTTTTCCCTTTCCCCTAAGAGTGAGTTATTATATGTTCATACTCAAATCCCATGCCTAGTGTAGTTCTCTGGATCAGAATACAGTGCTGTGTATGAATAGAACTAACAGTTGTCCAAAACTGAATTGAACTATCTCCAGAGGTACAACAGTAAAGAAAGTCATTGATCCCACAAATGCCTATTGGTTCTGTTGCCAGAAAAACATAAAACATATGTGGAATTTAGCCATGTCAGATCCATTACCTATTGATTCCCTTTCTTATTGTTCCCAATCTGCCCTCACCAAAGAGCCTTAATACCATGGGAAAAGGTAGGGTTTTGGTGATGCAGTCAAGTACCTATCTGGTTGTGACCTCCCTACCCCAATGCTCTACCTACCTTACTACCACCGGGCTATATTTTGTAGGGAGGAGGGATGATTAAAAGTCAAACGATAGCTGATCAGGTTTTTACTTTGACTGCAATTCCCTGGTTCCTACCATTCTTGTCTTCTTTGTCTCAGCAAACCTTGGGCAGCCAAGAATTCAAAGTTTTGAACAAAATGATGCAAAGTTGAAAGTGACAGTTCAAGATTCCATTACATCGTTTAGACGTGATGGGACCTTCCAAACCCTCCGTCAGATTTTTCACCAGGATCTAAATTACACACTTTATTACTGGAGGGCTTCAAGTACTGGAAAGGTAAGTTTCTTCCCCTTCCCCCCTTCACTTTGGAGCCCATTAGGACTTCTTAAATTGCAAATTAATAATAAATATTAGTAATAGCTGGCATTTATATAGTGTTTTAAGGCTTGAAAATGCTTTACAAGCATTATATCATTTTGGCCTCACAAACATAGGAGGTGGATGCTAATATTATTCTTATTTTACAGATGAGGAAACAAAGGTTAAGTGACTTTAAGTGACAGGATTTGAACTTGGGTCTTCCCGACTCTAGGTCTGGCACTCTAACCACTGTGCCACCTAGCTTCCTAGATTTTCAACTTATCTCCTTTGAGGGAGAGCAAAATGGAGACTGGTTAAGGAACAACATGGTATATAGTAGACAAAGTAATGGATGAAGTCGGGGAGCCTGAGTTGTATTGCCAGTTCTACCCCCTTATTAGCTATATGACCATGAGCAAGATGCTTTAAACTCTCTTAGCTTTGGTTTCTTTATCTGTAAAATTAGAGGGCTAGACTAGAACTAGATCATGTCAAAAGTTCCTTTGTCCAAAGGTCTAAAATTTGAATTCTTGCCCACATTGAGGATCCCACAGATTGATCCTTTCCATTTTATTCAACCTCTGGAAATTCTTGTTCATATTTAAAAGCCCAGAACAAGTTTTTCTATTGGAAAAGCCTTTTGGGGTTCAGAATGGTTTTTCAAGGACCTCAGTTGGATGGAATCCCTTTGGCACTTTGGTATCTACCTTTGCCTGGAATGGGTTACCTCCACACTTCAGTGTTTTAATCTTTTGTTAACCATGAAAGTCCAGGGATGCCTAGAGATGAGCCAGCCCCTGGACCAAGAGTATCAAATAAATTCTAGTCATCCCACACTAGCCTTGGTAAAGGAAGAAAATTAAGACCTGCAACAAGAGATCAAATTCTAATTGCCACTTCACACTAGTCTGCAATAAAAACTTCCACAAAATTAAGTGAGAACTCTGGCTTATCTACTTTCTCCTTGTAGGATCTTGCACTAACGACTCCGTATCTCTAAACCTCAGTTTCTTCATCTGTAAGATGAAAGCAATTAGATGTGATGATCTTTCAGCTCTAAATTTATGGTCCTATGATCTGTCTCTTTTAATAGAAATCAGTAAATACGGACACAAATGAATTTTTGGTTGAAGTGGACAAAGGAGAAAGTTATTGCTTTAACGTTCAGGCAGTCATTCCATCTCGGAGAGCAAAGCAGAAGAGTCCAGAAAGTGCAATCCATTGTACCAGCCAAGACAAAGTTGTGTTTAAAGGTGAGTGTGCTCTGGAGCTAGGTCTGGTATAAGAGGTGCCTTTGTTCGCTACTTAGAGAGGGATGATTTCCATAGTTCAATTTTACCTCTGTGACCCCAGTGAATCTCCTTGTGAAACTGTCATTGCCAGGGTTCTTGAAGTCAGTAACCCATCCAAGCAGTCTGGTGAAGCAGGGGAAGGGAACAATTCTATATTAAACACCTACTATGTGCCACTCCCAGTGCTAAGCACTTTACACATAGTATCTTATTTAATCCTCACAACAACCCTATGAATTAGGTTTCCCAATTTACAGATGAAGAAACTGAGGCAGACAAAGGTTAAGTGATTTGGCCAGGGTCACACATCTGCTAAATGTCTGAAGCTAAATTTGTACTCAGGTCTTCCTGGCTTCAGGCCCAGCCCTCTATCCATTGAACTACCTAGCTGACTTTGCATAAAATAAAATACATAGGATTACAAAGTTCATCAAATTCATTGAAATACATAAAAATATTTTAATTAACCAACTCCCTGTAATTTATCTATAGGCCCTAGTTTAAGGACCCCCAATCTATTGTGTCTATATTCCCGGCACCTGATACATAGTAATCACCTAATCCATGTTTGTTGGTTGGTGGATTAACACTAGGCTAAGTTTCTTTGCATATATGGGCCTGTATTTGGTACCAGAGCACTCTCTGAGCATTTTCTCCAGTTAAGTGTAGAACTAGGCATAAGAAACTATAACTCTCTGCAGCTGCAGCCTTGATTAAAAACTGATTAGCATCAGAAGAAGGAGAAGATGTGTAAGGCAGGTCCTGTCCCTGCAGTGGCAGGCTTACAGCCTCGCCGAGGAAATGAAGCTTAAGACCAACATTTAAAAAGTGCCAAATAAAGGAGAAAGTAGATTCAACATATTCAGGAAACTTGGAGGGAGAGTCCAGAAGAGGTGGGCCAAGATGACAGGTTTCATGGAGGAGGATGAGATTTGGAGAGGCCGATTTTAAGAACTACAAGGGAAACAAACGGATCCAGTGATTTAGTTCCCTTTTTCATTTCAGCAGACCTTTACAGGAGATTGTTAGTCTGCTCTTTCCAGTTACTAACTGCCTATGGCAGAGGGATGAAGTCCAGCGACTTAGGGAGTAGTGTGCTGAATGTAGAGTCCAAGGACCTGGATTCGTGTCCTGACTCAGCTACTCATTAACTTTGTGACCTTGGGCAAGTCACTTGGCTCATCTGTAAAATGAGGGCCTTGGACTCTCCAAGGTCCTTGTAGCACCAGACCGAGGATCCTGAGTAACATTGTTCCTCTTGCTTCCCGCAATATTGTTCTAAAAAATCCTTTCTAGATATAAAATGCTTTACAATGAATCACAAGATCCCATTCAAGGTTTTTCACCATTGTAGCCATTGTAATTTATCCTAGTCTTTTTCCAGTGGGGTCAGACCTCATCATAAACCAAGAATTTTGAAATGAGGGGAGAAAGTTTGGGCTGGCCATGAGGAGAACAGAGTAATTTTGAGCTCTGTCCTCAGCTGCAGCCATGAATGAACAGTGTCAGGGAAAGCCTATTCCAACTTTCTTTCTGATTCTTTTTTTCTCAGTTTGGGAAAAAGGGGTGATAAGTAGGAGGAAGGGGAGATAGAGATAGGGAAGAAAAGAAAGGAAGAAGAAAAGGAAAGAAAGAATTTTAAAGTACCTTTTCGTAATGTATAGAAGAGAACAGAAGGCAGTCTAGAAGGAATTGGGCAAGCAAGACTTGAAAGTTATATACTGAATTTATTATATATGTGTGTATACATATATAACACATACATATACATGTGTGTATATATAGGTGTGTTTTTAAGTAAGCTGTACATAATAGAGATCCATGATTTTATATACAATCTTTTTTTGTTCTGAATATATGTATGTATGTGTATGTATACATATATATACACACATATACAGCATACTATATGTGTGTATATATGCATATATTCATATGTGTATATGTATATGAATATATATACATATAAATGGAAATATTTTTCTATTTTATTTGGTGTTTAAATTCAGAATTTTTTAAAAAAAAGTCTTCTCTGACTATGTAGGCAAGTAATATTCTTCTTTTCCTTTCAGAATTGTTTTTCATAGTTGGAGCTGTGCTTTTTGTCATCATCATCCTTGTCATTATCCTCTCTGTGACACTATACAAATGCTCAAAAGCAAGAGCTAAAAGGAACAGGATGGAAAACTCACCACTTAACATTGCGTAATGGAGGCACCATTACTACCACTGTTGACTGCTACAGAAGCTGCATCTTACTGTGATGGGAAAGCTGATGGTACTTAGAAGACAACACCACTCTGGGGAGAATTGCTGTGATGGAGCTTGGGAAGGTAGCCTTCAAGTTCAAAGGGGGAAAAATCCTGTTTCTCTATTTCTTACTGCACTCATCATTCTTGTTTAAGTTATCTCCCTAACTCACTTTGGAAATCAGTGAATGGTACAGCCAGCGTCTCAAATTTTATTTTATTATTATTATTTTTAACACTACCACTCCTGAACTTGTCAGATTTTAGACTCTATAATCTTCTTGCAAGTTGAAATCTGGTCTCCAGGTCTTTGAAGCACTGGGTGGAATTTGGAAGCATCAGTGAGAAGCTGACATGAAACCGTGCAAGAAGGCATGCCGTGCCGTGGGTAGATCTGTTTCTACTACATGTCAATCTTGATTTCTGCATCCCATCCTGCAAGTTTGGAAAGGCAGAGGTTTTCAGAGCTGCATTTTTACAATAAGACTTGTGGTATTTGTGCTGGTTACATTCTTCCTTTTCCTATCTCTGCCACTCTGTAAGTGCAGGAAAGGAAAAGTTAGACCCGAGGGGAAGGAAAACTCTCCATAAACCTAACGGAAGCATCAACACAACTCTTGACTACTGCAAATGCTGCATATGGACCAGACTGACATTAACATGTTTGTTACGGACACTTTAAAACCAATGGCTTGAGTGTTCTAATATGCCATAAGGTTTAGCACTTTAACAGACCTAAGTAATGTTGCTTAAACACTTGATAGATATTCTATTTTTGTAATAAGACTACTATATAAATGAACCATCTCAGTTATGATTTGAGGTACTTTAGGCCCTCAGGGTCAGTGTCTATTATATGTGTTGTCTGTGTTTATGGAAAGGATTTGTATTTGGGGATTTCTATTTATGTCTATAATATATATTTGTATATATTGCAGTAATTTATTTAATATGCTTTTATATAAATAAAGGTGAATGGGATGAAAGTAAAAGATTATTTTGCTTTTCAATCATTTATGATCAGTCTCGAAAAAGGGGATGCTTAGAGACAGAGGTCACCAGAGGTGGCTGGTGGCTCAGTGGCATAGGACCTGTAGTCAGGAAGACCGGAGCTCAAATCTGGCCTCAGATATTTATTAGCTGTGTGATTCTGGGCAAGTCACTTAACCTCTGTTTGTATCCTTTCCTCAACTATAAAAGGAGGATTTTTATAGCACCGACTTCCCCAGGTTGTTATAAAGATAAAAATTAGATAATATTTATAAAATGCCTGGCACACGGTAAGTGCTGAATAAATACTTATTCCCTTTCCCCCTTCACTTTGGGCCTCAGTTTCCTCATCTGTAAAATGATGGTTAAATTTCTTTGACCATCTTTTAGCACTATATCTATCCCAAGCCCTGCCTTCTTTTATTCTCGGATATTCAATCCAATCTGACAAACATTAGCACCTAGCACAGGGCCAGGCACCTTTTAGTAGGCATTGAATAAATAATTATTGCTTAAGCACCCTCTGATTTCATCAGCACAGAGAATTCCAGGTAAGTAATCTTCCCTTACCAATACAGACTGGCAACAGTTCTGCCATTTGTAACCTTAGTGAATTGTCTGGGGTATTGAAAGGTTTCAAGGCATTGCCAGTGCCACACAACCAACATTTATTGATGTCAGGACTTGAACCTAGCTTTAGCTGATTCCAAGTTTGGTCATTATCCACTACAACAGTGGTTTCAAACTCAGATAGATATGTGGGCCACCAAGCTGTACATAAGGATCCTGGGGGACAGAGAGGGGTGCCACATAGTGACTTAGAAAACCACATGTTAACATTATCTATATTTACTTGCATTTTTATGTTTTGTTAAATATTTCCCAATTCCATTTTAATCTGGTTCCCATGGCCAGCATTTGACACCTTTGTAGTACACCATCCCATCCCTATATAGGATTATATATTTAGAGCAGAAAAGAACCTTAGAACCTGTCCTCAATGAACTCTGGTTTTGAAGGAAAGTAGGGTAAAAAGGTCACATAAGATACTAAAGCAACATGATGCCCTTAAGAAGAGCAGCTAGGTGGTGCAGTAGATAGAGTGCCTGGCCTAGAGTTAGGAAGACCTGGGTTCAAATCCAGCCTCAGACACTAGCTGTGTGACCCTGGGTAAGTCACTTAACCCTGTGTGCCTCGGTTTCCTCATCTGTAAAAAGAGCTGAAGGAAATGGCAAACTACTCCAGTGTCTTTGCCAAGAAAATGAGGTCATAAAGAGCTGGACATAACTGAACCACAAAAACTCCTAAGATATTCTGATATATTGTACACACTCTCAGTTCACCCATTCCATGAAATGTAAATCTGATACACATTTTTTTCCAAAAGTGGGAGAAACTGAGGAACAGTATATGTGAGGCATCCAGTGAGTCAAGACCACGTTAGGAATAGAATCAAATTCTCTTGGTACTCATTTCTAGGATCATAGATCTGGAACTGGATTGACCAGGTCATATAGTTCAACCTTTTCATTTTTTAAAATTTATTTTTATTTATTTTTTGCAAGGCAATTAGAATTGACTTCCCCAGAGTCACACAGTTAGTAAGTGTTATGTGTCTGAGGCCGGATTTTAACTCAGGTCCCTCTGACTCCAGGGCCAGTGCTCTATCCACTGTGCCACCTAGCTGCTCCCTCAACCCTTTCATTTTACAGAAGAGCAAACTAAGGCCCAGGAAAGTTTAGTGACTTATCCAAGGTCACCCAGGTAGCAGGTATCAGAGGTAAGACTTGAACTCAGGTCCTTTGAATCTTTTCCATTGTCCTTTCAGTTTACATCTTAAGGATCTCTGAAGAATTTCAGGGCTATATATTACAAAATTTTCTCAAGCTATTTGACTCAAATAGAGGCAGCATGATATTGTGGGCCCTAAAGCTTGGAAGACCTGGGTTTAAGTTCTACCCCTGATATATACTGGCCTTGGAAGAGTCATTTAACACCTCATATCTCTAGGCAACTCTTTCTAAGATTTTTGAGTTGCAGAGAAGGCACTGACTTATACTGGCAGAAGGAATTTCCTCACCAGAGAGCTCCCCATACCAATGAAATCACAGGTCCAGCCTGTCTGTATTGACTCAAATACATATAATAGATACTAATTTTATTTTGTATCTTTAAGTAGAATCATTACAAAAAAACTTAGAATGATTTCTATATGTGACAAATGTATTTCCGTGTTCCTGGTGATGATCCACAGTAACAGAATTTTGATTAGTCAGGTTACAGTAAATCCTGCAAAAGAAAACATCTGGCATAACAGATGCTATTATGGGCATATTCTCCATCTGTGTAAAAGCCTGGTACAGGGGCAGAGTCCTTCAGTAGGATTTGTTAGTGTTCAGTCAGTCAACAGGAACGAAGGAGGTTTTTTTTTTTTTGTTGAATCATTTCAGGCTCTGCAAAGATGCTGGAGTGGTTAGCCATTTTCTTCTCCAGCTCATTTTACAAATAAGGAAATTGAGGCAAAGAAGGTTAAATCACTTGCCCAGGTTCACACAGTTAATAAGGGTCTAAGGCCACATTTGAACTGATGTCCTCATGACTCCAGGCCCAGCACTCTATCCACTGTACCATCTAGCTGCCCCCCACAAAGGAGTAACTGAAACTGTGACAGCTTTGGATGAAAATAAAGAAATTTTTTCTGTACTGTCCAAGGCATTTATATGGATCTCTATTTGCAGGACCAAATATAATTGTTGGTATAGTGGAAAGAGAGTTGGATTTAGAGTTAGGACGTGGGTTCAAATCTTAACTCTGCTCCTATTAACTATATGAATTTAGACATATTACCTCCTTTTGTGTCTGACTCTTCTTGACCCCATGTCCATGAAGTTTTCTTGGCAAAGATACTAGAGTGGGTTGCCATTTCCTTCTCCAGTGTATCCTCATTTTACTGATGAGGAGCTAAAGCAAATAGGGATTAAGTGACTTGCCCAAGGTCACACAGTTAATAAGGGTCTGAGGCCAGATTTGAACTCAGATCCTCATGACTCCAAGCCCAATGCTCTATCCATGGTATCACCTAGCGACCTAAAACTATTATAGTGGTTCTCAGTGGAGTCAATGACCATCACCAGGAAGATGAGCCATGCCCCGGAAAATATGAAGCTTAAGTACATTTCTCAGGCAGTGCAGAGCTGAGATGAAACCACAAACTGTTAAACAGCCCCACAAAGCATGTCTTGTTTAATGTTTTAAGTATCTATCTCCCAGAAGAGTATAATAGGAACCATAAGTTACCGCATTATGGTTTTTTAAAAGTATTTGGCAATGAATGCTTATAAGTCTTCAGTTTCTTAAGCACTTCTTTTGTAGTGGAAGAAATCAATAGCTGTTCTTTTCCCAATCTACTGTGGACCTCGAGTACCTTTCTAAAGGGGACTCTGTTAATCCACTTTGTGGAGATCCTATACAAAAGTCATTCCTAAATTTAAAAAAACAATTCTTTCTGGGGCTTCTGGGTGTATCTTGGATAGGGTGTAAATGAACCAGAGTGCAAAAGGGACCAATCAGTGCCCCTATGGGTTAGACTCTTTCTGCGCTGAGCCTAGATAGCCTAAGTACTAATCTGGGACCCTTTCATGGGCGAGGGGAACCCTTATCCCTGGGCTTGTAGGTCTTCACATATAAAAAATAGGATTTACACTAGATAATATAGAAGCTTGCCTCTAGTTCCAAATATGTGATCCTATGAATCTGCACTCACCTGGCCCACTCATTCATAATCTTCCTGATGGCCACTTAATGACTTGCTGTCCTTCCAATCTTTTGTCATGGGATATTAAAAGTACTTCTGGTCAGAGCAAAGTCTTGTACCTGGATCTGGTCTAATTCTTAGGATCATAGATCTAGAACTGAAAAGAATCTTAGAAGTCATCTTCCAAGGTCAGCCAGTGGAAGCAGCAGAGCCAGGTTTCAAGCTCATATCTTCTGACTCCAAATCCAGTTCCTTTCCCACTTGTCTATCTTTCCACTTGCTTTCTATTTATTGTGTAAATATGTGTATTTGTTGTTTCCTCTAATAAAATGTTTTTTAGAGGTGAGGTAACTGAAGTCCCCTAGAGGTTAAGTGACTTGCCCAAGGTCACACAGTAAACACTAGGCAGAGCCAGGGTTTAAACTCCAGCCCTGTGGCTCCTTTCTAATGTGGTGGGAACAGGAGGAGAGGATTAGATTTCCAGCTTGGCAGTCTCCCTTCTTGACAATGGAGCTTGGTGCCCACAGGCACGTCCTGAAAGGAATGTAATTATGTGCTTATCTAGGATCACTGCTCACGTGAGATGAGGCTACTTGAGACAAAGAGCTTATTGAATTACATAAGGGAGTATAAAAAGTTTTGTTAAGAGATTATCTGGTTGTGGTATTTCTATAATGTGGCCCCTGGTGCAGGCTGTCCCAGACCTGAGTCCCTCAAAATGACCACCAGGAAAAGAACACCAGAAACACTTCCCACCCCCACCCCCTTCCTCAATATTCTCTGAATTTATCTGGGATTCCTCTGCTCTCCTCCTCCTCCTCTTCTTTCCTTCCAGCCACAGATTCCCAAGGTTCTCTGGGACCTTTTGATGATCTGACTATTCTCAAACAATAGGGTGGAAATTATGTTATTAAAGCTTGTGTAATATATTGGAATATGGTAAAACTGTGACGTTAGACTCTAAGGATAAGTACTCTTGAGACAAGAAGGAAGGGATGGAGCCAGCAGCTAAGCCTGAGCAGAAGTAAAATGCAATCCATCCCAGAGGATGTCCATCTTCTCAGTACTTCTGCTGGGCCAGGGCTAGGATCCTGAGGAATCTTGCAGACAGACTCTCATAGGAAATATCCCCAGGTTTGTTACCAGCAAAGACAAGCAGTGTGATCAGAGCATTAGAAGTAGATGGATGGCGGTATGTCCAGATGGACTGAACCTCA